AAGGAGTGGTTTCAACAGCTTATCATAGAGTTTTGTATCGGCATTCAGTAGCGAGATGGGTCTGAGGTTGGCACACATTGTAGGCGTTTTATTGGGTTTAGGGAGAGTTACTATGTGGGCTTCTAGCATTTCTGGTGGGATTTCTCCTGTGTCTTTTATATGGTTGAAGAGTTTGGTGATATGTGGGGCCAGGGTATCACCAAATTTATGATAGTAGCAGTTTGTTAGTCCATCTGGACCTGGTGCTTTGTGTTTTGGCAGTGTTGTTATCGTGGAGCGAATTTCTTCGTTTGTGAACGGCCTCTCTAATGATGTTTTTTGTTCCTGGGTGAGTGTTGGCAGGGTAGTGTTGTGGAAAAAGGCTTGTAAGTCTCTGTCCGTGGGTTGATGTGTGGCGTTGTCACTGTCGAGCTGATACAGTGAGGCTAGTTCCTCTACCATATCTTGAGGGTTATATAACTTGTCCCCTTTCGCGGATATAATGTATGGGAGTTTGGTGGATTGATGTCTCTTCTTTAGTCTTCTAGCTAGCATTTTCCCTGCTTTATTACCTCCTATGTAATGGGTTTGCTTGAGGTAGCGCATATGCTTTTCGGTGGTGTTTAGGGCTAATGCATGTAATTGTAATCGTATTTGTTCCAATTGTTTTTGGGTATGCTTTTTGGGGTTCTGTTTATGTATAGCTTCTAGTTTAGTAAGTGCATTCAGCAGCTCTGCTTTCTGCGTGCAAGCCCGTCTTTTACTATTGGCCCCCAGTTGAATGAGCGCCCCTCTCATGACCACCTTGTGTGTTACCCATTGAGTCGATATGGGTGTTGTGCAAGATGCGTGATTGGTGAAGAATTCAGTTATCTGTTTTTCTATATGTTTGGAGTTTTCTGGGACGTTTAGCAGGGCTTCGTTTAATCGCCACGTGCCTCTGCCACGAGCCGGGTACGGGACGTGGAGCGCAATCGTAAGCGGCGCGTGGTCCGACCACGTTATTGGGCCTGTGGAAACGTCCGTGAGGTGTGTTAGGGTATTTTTGTCAGTGAGACATAGGTCTATCCTGGAGTAGGTCATGTGGATTGGGGAGTAATATGTGTAGTCCCTCTCCGCAGGGTATAGGCATCTCCATGAGTCATACAAGTCATGCATTAGGAGAAGATTAGTGAGGTGTCGACCTAATAAGATGGATGGCCTCTTGGGAGTTTTGTTCTCAGTTCGTTTCATGTCTATGTACGGGTCAGCTGTGCAGTTAAAGTCACCACATAGAATCACGTGCCCTTGTTTGTATCTGTGCAGCTTTTTGAAAGCTGAGGTTAGAAAGGATTTTTGATCTACGTTGGGGGCGTATAGTGAGGCTATCGTGATCTCTATGCCATTTAGAGAGCCCACTAGTATGAGTAGCCGGCCATCCCTGTTTGCATGTTGTGTGCGCATCGTAAATGCCCAGTCATCATGGAAAAATATGGAGACCCCTCTCGATTTTGTTGGGGAGAATGCATGAAACGCCTGTGAATATTGTTTCACAGAGAATTTTGGTGGGTTTCGTCTACAAAAGTGGGTTTCCTGCAAGCAGGCTATCGCCGCTTTGGACGAGCGCATTACTTGCGCTGCCAGTCTGCGCTTGTGGGGGCTATTAAGGCCTTTGACGTTGAGGGAGAATAACTGCATTGAGTTAGCCATTGGCAGTAGGAGTCATGTTATGCTGAATAATAAGCGCTAGATTGACTTCAGGGGGATTCACCATGAAAATGCATGTTTGCAAGTCGTGGTCAGGTCTACAGGTTGTCACGTAGTAAAACCAAATAGTAAGTAGAGATATAAACTGACATAAGAACATATACAGAACCATAAACATAAATGAATCTACATAAATAGAGTATGTACAGGGTGTCCCAGTGGTTTTGGGCATTTTACTCGGTTGAGCTACTGTCCCGTACTCGTCGGGCAACAGGTCAATCCGGGGGGGCGAGGTCTACGGAGGCAGCCGTGGCCTAGACCCTTTAAACATGGTTCCAATCATAAGACATATTCATTTATTCGAACCTGTGTGTACTTTACCAGTGTGTGCGAATTTTTTTTTTTTTATTTATTTTTATGTTCGTGTGTTAACGTTACCTATGTGGTATCGGGCCTGCATGTGTTCCCCCCGGAAGAGGGGCTTATTCCAGCGTATCTGGATAAGCGTTTGTGCGATGGAGATTGATATGGTATGCATGTGTAGGGCTACGTATTTGGAAGTATGCACTGTTTATAGTGTGTGTCGTAGTGTGCAGTGAGGTGTGGCATAGTATACATACAGATTGGTATCCGTCAGTTGAGGGGTGTCACATACAGTCCCGGTGTACGGTTGTATTTAGTCCTTTTGGGTATCTCGTTGCTATTTTCTGGGCGATCCCGCCATGTGCCATTCTGTCTGCAGCCGCTGAGGTAGTTTGGAGCTTTGCGCAGGAGCGTCTTGAGATCCGAACAGTCCCCATTCTCGTAGAAGTTTCAGGCCTTCAGCTGGCTCTTCGATGTTGTGGTGTTTATTGTCTTTCCATATCAGGAGCTTGGTCGGGTATCCCCAACGATATTGGATGTTGTGATTGCGCAGCGTTTTCGTGACAGAGACGAACTCCCGTCTTCTTTCCATAGTGAGCGCTGATAAATCGGCAAATACTTGGATGTCTTGGTACGGCTCTGGTAGACGCTGTAATTTGCGTGCTGCAGTCATCAGCGCTTCTTTGGATTTAAAGTAGTGGAATCTGACCACCGTGTCCCTTGGCGTATCTGTTGTGAAGCGCGGGGGCCTCGGGATGCGGTGGGCCCTATCCATGAGCCACCCTGCTTTCTCTATGGCCGGTGCTAAGGTGATGCGTAGGTTCAGAATATACTCAGCGAGTGCATCATGTGTAACGCAGTCTGGGATTCCCCGGAATCTTACATTATTTCGCCTTGAGCGATCTTTAATGTCTGCAGTTTTCCTTTTAAGAAGTATGTGCTCTTCTTGAAGCGTGCGCAGCTGCTCTGCAAAGTCGTTTTGTGAGGCGCATATTTCTTCCGTCCGCATTTCTAGGCGGTCTGTACGGTCACCTATTTCGTTCAGTTCCCGTTTAAATTCAGCAGTCATTTTTTTCATGTCCGCATTAAGAGTTGTTCTTAAGTCCTGCAGCATGGTAAATAGCCTTATTTCACTAACTGGTGCCTCTGTGTAGGAATATGAGGCTGTGTCAGTTTCACTTAGCTGGTCTTGTGCTGGGGAAAGGCCCATGCTGTCGTCGCCATCTTGTGGAGATTTGCCTTTATCTTTCCTGGCGGATTTAAGCTGATCCGTCATTTTCATTTGTTTGGAGGGGGCCATGGTGTCGGTACCTGCTGTCGGGTAATGTCTTGCCGAGATTCAGATTGATTTATCTGTTGTTTTAGCGCGGTCAGGTCTATTGTGGCCGGGAGCTCTCACTCCATGCGACCGTGCGCGCCGGCTGTCAGGCACGCCCCCCCAGAAATACCCAATGTTAACATGTTCTTAACTTATTTTAAGTTATATGGCTATAAGTACAAGTAGGACATTGCTGTTTCACAATATATATTTTTTAAAATGTATCAATAGTGACATTGTAACACTTATCTTTCATAACTCTCTGAATTACAGCTCACGTGTACATATTTTTTTAAAGTAGACAACCCAGGGTATATGGGGTACGTCCAGTCTTTTTTAGTAGCCACTTAGTCACAAATACTGGCCAAAGTTAGCATTTATATTTGTTTGTGAGTTAAAAATGCAAAAAAACAATAATGAACGCTAATTTTGGCCAGTGTTTGTGACTAAGTTGCTGCTTAAAAAGATTGAACATATCCCATTTGCAATACCTTGGATTGTCTTCTTTTGCAAATGGTATGCCATCATGGGGGTAAGTCTCATTCCTGGGCTACCATACGCTCTCAAAGGCAACATAACCAATCTGGCAAATTTCAATGTGAAAAATGGGAAATCGGGGGGGGGGGCGGGGCATGGCCGCCGAGCTGGATGGACGTGGAGCACTTTGGCTCCCCAGTGAATCCCTAATAACTAGCCTAAAACTACCTCCTCTTATGTGAATAACCCCAAGTCGCTACCAGAAGACAAGGGGAACCCAAGCAGCAACCTTCGGTGCAATTATCAGCTCCCGTCCTGCTGGCGGCACCGACTGATGGGCCGATAGGTTTGAGGCCTGCTGTGAGGCTCTGGCGGGAGAAACGGGCAATATCCTGTGTTTAGTCTGGCGGGACCTCTCTCACGCCTATTGAGGGCCCCGTTCTTCCCCCCTATGGGCCGGTGGGGGTTATCCCGGTCCCCACCAGGGACGCAATGCTCAATCACAGCATCTGGGCAGTGGAGAAACCAGCCTAGGACCGCATGGCAAAAACCAAGATGGCTGCCGCGTCTGAGGCTGTAGCAACTGAGCAACTGCTGGGTACCTTCTGGAAGCCGGTGCGGATCTGACAACTGCACGCTAGCAACAAGCCGAAGACAAACAACGCAATCCCTCCATCCACGCCGACCACCGGAAAACTCCAAGGGTAACAACTCACCACGCAAGCGGAGAATGATTTCGGCTCACTACAGAGAACATTGTCCACACCACCCAAAGGTATCACCTCCTACTGTCACTGGTGGGTCTGCGGGGACTGTATCAGGACTCTGACTCTAACTATACCTGTGGGGATAACGGACATGGGGCGCAGACTCTATTCTCTGCCTGGGGTTGGTGCCAGCAGTCACACATGACCGGACACATCCATAACATGAGCTACACCAGACCCGATCCCAGCTAAGACACCAGCCAATCCAGCACAGCCACATGAGCGACTAAGCGCTGCCTACCACATATGTCCATGTTTACAGCAGACTACTGTATATTCGTTATTTTAGTATTTCATTAATAATTTCATTCTGTGTTTAATAGAGTAGATGTTAATTCTGCAGTTCCCCACTGACAGCGCCTAAATCTCTTGAGCCTGCACAGATACCAAACCTGGCAAGCCCAGTGCTCCAATGTCCCTTGGTGGTTAAACCACGCCACGTAATTGCACGTTAGTAAGTAACCACACTTAATCTATGTCAGACCTGTCCAACCAGGCTAGTCAGTCACAAAAGCAGAAAGTGGCACCACATGAGTGTGTGCCATCCAGAGGAATCTTAGCATGTCCACTTAAATTACTACTGTCTCACATCTCCATGTTTGACTGGCCACACAGGTCACCACACTTACTGTACACATCTCTAGTGAAATCTATTAACCCCTTGACGACCGATGACGGTTCAGGACCGTCATCGGAAAAATCCCCTTGGGGACCGATGAAGGTCCTGAACTGTCATAACGGTCTGGGGCTACTTACCTGATCGCCATCGGCGACGATCAGCGCTCCTCCCGGTCCAGGGGGACTGCCTGTCTGCCCGGGCAGTCTCCCCTCGGCAGATCAGGACCCCGCGGCCATGTGATCACTCGATCACATGACCACAATAGGTGCCTGTGTATCTGCCTGTAGGGGGACTGTCTGTGCTGACAGGCAGTCTCCCTGCAAGTGAAAAATCAAAAATAAAGTTACAAAATAAAGCAATCAGTGTAAAAAAATAAATAAATATATATATATATATATATATATATATATGGAAGGCAGGGCCTGAAGTTGTGGGAGGGGCTTGGTTCCCCTTCTTAAGGAGCTCCAGCCCTTCACCTGCTACCGGCTCAGGTCTTGAGATTTGCATAACCGCACTTCCGGTCCGTGCAAATCTCCTCTGTCACAGGCTAAACCCCGAGGATACACTCACCTGGTCCTGTTGCTCCGTTTCAGCTCACAAGAGATTCCCTGTCTCACCGGCGTCCCCGCATTTCGGCTTATCCACACAAGCGACCGGCGGCTGGTGCCGTTTTCAGCAAACCGTAAGTCACGGCTGCCGTCGGGCGGCGGTCGCGGTCGATCCACGTCATCTTGGTTACTGTGACTTTTTTTTATATTTTGGCGGGAATTATGGCACGTACGCTGGGCAATTCGTTTTCGATTCTTGATATCGTTTAAATCATTTCGCTATTTATAAGTACTTGTAAGCTGGCTATAAATTGTGCTTATGTGATACAATACACTCATTATTCATTCGTTTTAACTGCATTAGTAATATCATTGGGGCACTTTAGCTGGGTTACATCGGCCCCTTGTGGTCATTCTATATTATTACATATTGTGCAAAATTACACAGGTTGTGTTACATATATAATATCAAGTTTTAAAGCAGCTATAATGACTGGCCTCTACACCTGCATTCAGGCTAATTACTTGTGGGTCTGGCATGAGGCATTCCGTATACTACAAACAATCAAGATGAGGCATTATTTTATTTTTTTGTGACTCATAAAATTCTTAAAACACATATAGTTTCACATGTCATTTCTTCATGTTTCAACTAGCCACTTGAGGTTGCATAGCCGGTATTCTTACGTGTTACTTCTACATTTATAGGCTAGGCCATCAATGCAGCCTTGGTTCCTGGTTCCAATTTAGGATATATCTACCTGGTAGGGATCTGGGGTACAGGAGGGAATTTCAGGTACATGTCGATACCCACTTAATAGTTATTAAATTAAATTTAATTATAAATTCACTATTTAATCTTGTAGGAACTACAGTAAACCGGTATTACCTTACCCGGCTAAATACTCAACTCACAGGTACGTCCCTTTGCCTCGATTCAACACGAACCCCTTCCCCGTCTATTTTTATAAGCTAGTTATTCACTGGCACTAAAGCATAGGAGCCTCTAGGTACGTTCTTCTTGGCCTTCTACGCCTTACGTTAGTGGTCCCGCGAGGCCAACACCCATCCTCAAACGGAGGTACGATATCCCCTCGGGCCAAATCATAGTTAGCCGCCTCGCACGGTTGCATAGAGAGGGCATCACCTGTCACTCCCATTCTGTCTTTTTCTGGTTATTGTCACAGAGGGGCCAACTCCCCGCCATAATGTCAATAGCCTCATAACCCAATCGGGCCAATTCATAGGTAGAGCCTCTCACAGCCGCTTGGCTACTAGTAGGGCCTCACCTGTCACCTATCGTCTTAATTGTTTCGCCGCTTGGCACTAGTTAAAGAACAGCCAGTGAAGAAATTTTTTACACTAGGTAAAACATCTAAAATTTATTTTATAGCATGTCACAACTACCAGAAGGGTCACAACTACCAGAAGCTGGGGAAGATCTGTCTATCCCTAGCACACCTGCTAGATCGGTCACTCCATCTCAAGGAGTCGACAATGCAAGTCCTTCATCTCTACGCTCCTGGATGATTCCTCGGATCACCGCCGAATTGAGGAAAAGGAATATTCCATTCCCAGCTACGGCTAGGAAAGCCGAATTGTATAGACTTTTAAACACGCAAACTGATAATACTGGGGCTGATGAAGGGTCTAGTAGCGGTCAGTCTTCT